GTGAATAAAAATTCTATGTCAATTGAACATATAACCTTTTCCTTAATGTTCAAGGTGTTCAGCATTCCTGTCAGATCAAATGAACTTTTTACAGAATGATTTGATAATGAGTCTCTTACAGGCGTAAGGACCTCTGTAATCCATTTGGCGATTTTATGGTAAGAAGAATTTGACATGTTTAAGATGGGTCTCAGTAGGTTCCCATCTTAGACCACCACGACAAGATGGCAGTTATCGGTCGGGTGATTAGGTTCTCTTGAACATCTTTTACTGATTTCATCATCTCGGTTAATCTCTTCTAAACATCAAGCAACCAGGTGATGTGATTGAATATTCTGTGGGACTTTTTTTGCCTGCGACCTGTTCTGCTTCACTTGCTGATCGCCAATGTTGTAGAATTGTATTTCATCTTCCACAGCAGTCTTCTTCACTTCTTTATTTTAGTGCAGTGTACACTGAACTCAGTTTCTCTTTCTATTGGCCGTTTTTTGTATTAAGTCATCTCCTTACTCACCAACCACCTCCTCTCTCCTCGATCAACTTCCAGGTAGGTTTTTCGTTGAAAGTCATTCCTTGTTTTGTTTCGTTTTTCTTCCTAGATAAGTTGTACATAATTTTCTTGAATATCGCCCCTTCAGAGAGCTCCAATGTTCTTCTAGACAGTTTTCCTCATTTCGAATAAGACTTTATTATTATTCTTCTTCCCCCATCGGGCGGCGGCTTTTGGGCGTCGGTGGCACGGTGGTTAAGACGCTCGCCGACCATGCATATGGTCCCGGGTTCGATCCCCGGCCGACTCACTCCTTTACCTAGCTAAGCCAGAGATAAAGGTGGTAAAGAGGAAAGGTTAGGCATGGGGCCAGCAACTGTATCCTGTAAAAATTAACACTGCTACAGAAACTTCAAGCCACTAGCTTGAAGCCCTATGTTCCACTGGGAACGTGAAGGAAAAATTATTATTATTATTCCATATTGCTATTCTTTCCATCTCAGGTTTCTACCCACCTCTTTTATCCCCATCTCTTTCTTATTTCTTTGCCTTCTACATAGAGTTTGGCAACTTGTAGTACTACTGGATTTCTGTGCAAATTTCTTTCTATATTGAAAGCAATCAGTCACATTGTCTCCTAATGCCTGTAGGCTATCGTTTGCCTTGAAATTCTTTGTTTGTGAGTCAGTGGCACAGTGGTAGAATGCTTGCCAAACATGTCGTATGTGATTCGGGATTCGATCTCCGGCTACCAAACTACACACTCACTCCCTCTATTACCTCGCTGAGCCAGTAATAAGTAATAAGACGACTGGTGAAGAGGAGAAGGTTGGTTAAGCCTATGGGGAGGAGGGGGGCGGCTAGCAACCCCATCCCTGTATAGGTAATAAACACCACTGCTACCAAAACTTTAAACCTATAGCTTGAAGCTCTATTCCATATTAGATTGTTTATTAGATATATCACACAGTGAAACAGTATTATTATTTACTGGACATTGATGTTTCGAACAAAATTTATTGTGGTTCATAATCATATCATCAATTGTAATCACACGAGTTTGAAACATGAGTTTTATAGTTTTAGAAAATCAAAACAAGTGATTCAGCGAAGAGACTCTTTTCAACGAATTTATCATCAAGCTGTACAGTCGTATATATATGGCTTATCAGAATTTATATCCGGTGAGGAATTGAATCTTAGGTGTGAATGCACAAAATAATAATAATACTCATATGAAGTTCGATTAAAACTAAAATGTTTGTGATTATAATCGTAGTTAAATGTCAAGTGGCAAAGCAGATTAATGTCATATATAGAATAATTCATAGGAGGGATAGATTCAATTCCCTCACCGGATATAACTTCTGATAAACCATATATATACGACTGTACAGCTTGATGATAAATTCGTTGAAAAGAGTCTCTTCGCTGAATCACTTGTTTTGATTTCATAGTTTTCTTTGTTTTCCTCTATTTGTCGTAGGGGTAGCAGAATTCTCCAGATATCTGACTGGACAGGTGATGAATCATTCCTATTACACGTATTTTCATTCAGTTGATTCGATCAACAAAGCTTCTGTTGTTATCAATCTCTCCCTCCATCCACCCTGTGACATTAGATTTTGAAACTGTCATCTTATCCCATCCATCCTATTGTATGGTTGTGTGTAATTGCATATAGTGAGTGCTATCTACGGCTGAATTATTCTCTAGATTTCTTATCTTATTTCGGTCAACTGATCTAGATTTCGCTGCTAGGTTTTTATGTTCGGCTAGTCTGACTGACTGCCCCTGTTCTACTAGTTTGACCTTTGTATTTGACCTGACAATCATCCCAAATAGGGTATTAGATAAACTGAATTGTTTTATTTGTTTAAAGGCTCCACAGTGGTTAGAACTCTCGCCGACCATGCACATGGTCCAGGGTTCGAGCCCGCACCGACGCACACCTGATATCTATGGTCTTCCTGCAAAATTTGGGCTATCGATATCCATGCTGAAAATTCCATACTTGTACCGAAAATACAGTGTGGAATCAAGCTGTAAATCAAAAATAAAAAAAATAAAAATCCTTGTTTACTGATATCAGTAAACATTACTGTATAACGCTGTGAGACTTTATCAAAACAAAATTTACCCATAATGGAATTACACTCTACCACAGTGCACAAGTTTTATTCTTATATCAAAAATCCTTTAACCGACAAAGCTGGTTTCTAATTGAGTTTGCGGGTGGTTTGAATGCCAGCCACTTTTATTCCTGCCTGCCTTGTTAAGAATTCTGTGTAAGGCTTCCGAGGTCCCTTCCTTCTACGGAATTACTGTTGACGATTTAGATTCCTTATTGTTGGTGTCGTCATTAATAATTATTATTAACACTATCGCTGTTATCATTATTTATTTTATTTTTACATTTACTTACGTATTTCTTGACTAATTTTTCCGGGTAATTATTAAGTTTCAAGGCTTCTTTTATGTGTATCACTTCCTGTCTTAGATTTTCCTTGGTACTACTTAGTTTTTATGCTCTGGCACTTAAACATTTCACTAATCCTATTTTTACTGACATAGGATGGGACGATCAGAAATCCAAATATCTATTTGAATGTGTTAGTTTTCTGTAAACACTAGTGTTTAACTTCCCATCTTCTTTCCTTTTTACGTTGCAATCTAACATTGGAAGCACCGCCGCTTCCTGACTTTCCAATTCATAAGTGAATTGAATTGCCTCTACCTTTGAGTTGATGTGCTCGAAAAATCTATCTATATCTTGTGTTCTAAGTACAGTGAATGTGTCATCTGCATACCTCCACCATACTTTTTGGGTTGGTGGAGGTGAACATTTCAATCGCTATGCTTTCCCAACTATCCATGAATATATCTGCTACAACCAGGGATATTGGTGATCCCATGGCAACTCCCTCAGTTTGTTTGTATATTCTCCCTTGGAATTGAAATACTGTAGAAGTCAGGCAAATCTACACTCCCAGCATTATGTCCTCGAGTGGCACTTTTGTCCTAAGTTCGAGTTCTTGGTCAGAAATGATGCTCTATTTGTGTTCTACTGTGAGCAAATAATGAGGCATTTTCAATTTGTATGCTTATTATTTCTCTTTCTCACACACACTCTCTCTCTATGTCTGTTTTTGAAGAATTCGTATAATTATGACAGAAAATAATCAGGGAGAGACACAGAGAGAGAGAGAGAACTGAATGTATCGTATGTGTGTGTGCGTGTGTGACTGTGTATGAATGTTAGGATGAGGTCTGAAGGACGCGCGTGTCCTTAAATACCAAAATGAACTTAAGTGTTGATAACATTTCTTTTCTTTTCTATAGTTTGCTTTGTAAGGGTTAGTAATGTTTTTACGAGTTTGGGAATCATCGCCAGTACGCACCCACTGCGATTCGAATCCAGGACCTTCCGGTTACAAGACCAGCAAGTTCATATACTATTCAGCCACTGGGACCCGATTCAATAGCCAGTGCATGAATTCTAACTTCTACCAATTCGTGATTTAGCGCGACGCCAACTAACTCTTACAAAGCAAACTATAGAAAATCAATCTGATGCTCGTTAGTGAGTGACTTGCTACAGGTTGGTGTTTCCCGAGTTCTAGTGAGAAGTCGTGACCAGTGAGGTCCAATTATGGGTAAATTTTGTTTTGATAAAGTCTCACAGTGTCATACAGTAATGTTACTGTATAACACTGTGAGACTTTATCAAAACAAAATTTACCCGTAATGGAATTATACTCTACAACAGTGCACAAGTTTTATTCTTATATCAATGAGGTCCAATTAGATGTCACGTGTGTGCATGGGCGTCCCACCAACGACAATGGTTGGGGTCGTGCTAAATCACGAATTGGTAGAAGTTAGAATTCAAGGATTGGCCATTGGATAGGGTGAGGTGCCAGTGGCTGAATGGTCTACGAGCTCGCTGGTCTTGTAACCGGAAGGTCCTGGGGTTCAAATCCCAATAGGTGCGTACTGCCGATGATTTCCAAACTAGTGGGATTAAACAGTAGCTGTCCAGTACTCCCTGTGTCTGGTTTTCAATGGTTCTCTAACTGATATCAATCCGTGATCAACTCGTAAAAATATTTCTTTTTCTGTTATATAAATGTATTGCTAACGTCTTCTTTGTTTCACCATTTTTTTTAACTTGATCTTGTTCTAATTTTTTGACTCATTTGTATTTGATTAATGTGCCCCCGAAACACCGTCACCACCCCCATACCCGCCGCTGCCATCGCCACCCCCACCACCCTACATACATCTTTTTCACATCTTCTACATCTTATCGTCTACACGTTAAAATGATATAATGAATGAATTAATTAACTAATTAATGATCATTATTCATTCACAAGAAGGCGAAATACCGATCGTTTGTAATTACTGTTTTTGTGTTAAAAAAAAATCAATACTAATTCAGTCTTGATAACGGATAAAATATTACACACATAAAAAAACAAAAAAAAACCGAAGGCATTTAATTTACCTTGCATGTGCACATATCCATTGATCAATAATTGCTACACCACCAGGACCATATAACATCCATTCTAATTCATTTGGTTCATAGGTATACACTTGATATGGATAAAGTAAAAGTTTTAAATTATCAAGTTCTGCAAAACAAAACAAAAAAGTTCCATACATTTATTCACCTTAATGAATTGAAACAAAGCAAGAACAACAACAACGGTTTTAGCAGAATAAAATGGTTCCCTTGATTCTGTTATTTCGTTACCTTCTCATCAGCTGCTTGCCTACAGACTAAATAAATTTTGAGGTTTAAGTACAGGAACATTTTAACATACTTGCAAATTTTACATGTTGTTGTCAGTTGACAGAAAGTTCTACAATAAGTGAACAGTGCTACCTGAAAATTGCGCTTATATAGTTTTTATACAGGCAGTTCAAGTTCAAATATATGCATATAATGGTAAGGGAGTTACATAATAAAGATGAGATGTGCGTTAGATGAATAGTGACTAATAAGTTAGGTAACAATGTGCTGAATTCAACTCAAATCATAGAAACAAGAGACAAGCAAAATTACAGATTATAAAAGAAGGGTGAGGTTAAAGACAAAGATTACGTAATCAGATGAGAGAAAAAAGGACATCCAGTTACCAGGTTGGCAAAAAAGGACTAATAAATGCTTCTTTCTGAACATATAAATCTGGTTTCAAGCGTTTGATAGAAACTGCTTTGGCAAACTTGAGGAGAATGGAGCTCCTTTGTCTATTGATAATTTTGAAGGATTTCTCGATTTCCACCTCATGACCCGTGTCGACGAGATGTCTGGTAATAGCCTTCTCGTCAACTGCTTAGAGGGTAAAGACATTACTAAATATATCTACAACAACAATTGGAACATACTTGCATAGAGTTCATTTTAATAAACAAAAATCAATCGATCAATATACTTTATTTTTTATTTATTTATTTTATTTTTGATTACACCTTGATTCCACACTGTATTTTTGGTACAAGTATGGCATTTTCAGCATGTCATATCGGTAGCCCAAATTTCGTATGCCGACCATAGATATCAGGTGTGCGTCGGCAGGGGATAGGACCTCGGACCATGTACATGGTCGGCGAGAGTCTTAACCACTGTGTCACCAACGCACACTAAAAATATATACACATATAAATATGCAATATTAAACACCATTCCGAAAAATAATAATCAAACACAATGGAAACTTTTCAGCATTTCGCATTCGGGAGAAAAAGAGGGGTGAAAGTATCCAGTTACCAGGCAGGGCAAAGGAAGACTGATAACCGCTTCTTTCTAATGAACGCATAAATCAGCTTTCAAGCGCTTGATGGAAATGGCTTCAGAAAACTTCAGGAGAATTGAGTTCTTTTGCCTATTGATAATTTTGAACGACTTTTCGACGTCCACCTCATGCATGACACATGTCGAGGAGATACCTGGCGATGGCACTGTTTAAAGCATTTTTTCCCCGCTGGAGACGTAAGCTTTTTGGTACATGTTCAGAAATGCGTAGATATGCCCTTCATTCTGTCCTTCCAATGCAACTGCTCTCTCAGTCAGATGCATGTAAATTTGTATATACAGATGGTACCATTTTATTCTGCTAAAATTGTAGTTCTTGCTTTGTTCAAAAAGAGAAGTTCAACAAAATAAATGTCCCAGGAGTGCGGCGAACGCTCCAATGGCCCAGATTGTGAATGCAAGCTAGAGTCACCGGCGACTGACGGCACCTATCATTATCATAACTATAATGTTATAATATGATGATGATATTGGATAGTTGGAGGTAATCAGCCTACAGGAAGCCTTGCTTCGCCTAGATTTCATGCTAGTTGGCAACCATCAGTCAACAAGGCTTATCTGCAATCCACCTTGAAGGAATTTATGTTCCTCCTTCTGACAGGACTAGACACGTCACACTAGTTGCTAGTGTATAATCAAAACTAAGCAGCAAATTTCACTGAGATCATGTTTTTAAGTATTGTTTGGATAATGTGTTAATGGCTCGTTAGGGTTACGGATAAGGGTCAAAATTAGCATTAAAGTTAGGTTTTATGTTTAGTTATAAACATTGAAAACATTATAAGCATTGAAAATGGACCCAGAGACAACAGCGGACTTGATGACGCCATTTCTGAAGAAGATGTGGGTGGAAAAAGGGCAAAGTACCTGAGGATTGGAAGAACGCATACTTATTCAAACTATCAAAGAAAGGAGACTTAAGTCAATGCAAAAACTGGCGCAGAATTATGCTCCTGTCCAATCCAAGCAAAATACTAAGCCGAATCATCCTCACGAGAGAGAATCAAACAAGCCAACCTGGATGAAAAACATCGACCGGAACAAGCTGGATTCAGGTGAAACAAGTCATTTATTGATCAAATCGCCACTCTACGGATCATCATTGAACAAACCTTGGAATGGCAGTCACACCTCGCTCTATCACAACTTCATCGACTTTGAAAAGGCCTTCAACAGCGCAGCGTCGACCGAGAGGTGATGTGGAAACTACTTCGCTACTACTACGGGGTCCCATCGACAATTATACATCTCATCCAACAGTTATACGACAATGCTGCATGCACCAAGTAATCCACAACGGGAAACTTACGGAATCCTTCGAAGTGAGGACGGGAGTGAGACAAGCTTGTCTACAATCACCAATGATCTTCCTGATTGCAGTAGACTGGATAATGCGACAGACAACGGTGGGCAATCAGGAAACAGGCATAAAATCCACTCACACAAAAAACAACTTGGACGATCTGGACTTCGCCGATAATATATGTATGTCTGATTTCCCACAAACTGGAAGATATGCAAGTGAAAAACAACAAGCTGGCAGAAGAAGAATCCAGAGAAGAAAGGACTTCAAGTGAACATAGATAAAACAGAGATGATGAAGATTCCTGGTCAACAACAACAGACAACAATCAGCCAGCATAAGTGGGGCGAACCTGAAAGAAACAACCTCCTTTACCTATCTATCTGGGAAGCACCGTTTCAACTACAGGCGGACGGAACTGACGAGGATATCAAATCAAGAATCGGAAAAGCAAGACAAGCTTTCATTACTCTCCAGTCTGTGTGGAGGTCAGCATCACTCAACATTAAAAATAGCATCCGGATTTTCAACTCCAATGTGAAGTGAGTCAGTGCTACTCTCTATACGGATCAGAGACTTGCACTCCGCGTCATAAAGAGCATCTCAAACAAACTTCAGACCTTCATTAACAGCTGTCTTCGCTCAATACTCAAGATCAGATGGCCGGCCAGAGGAGACGAGCGACAGGAATCTCTGGCAATGAGTGAACGGATACAGCAGGAACCGATTGTGAAACAAATAGGCAGGAAGAAATGAAGATGGATTGGCTGGCCATACTCTGAGGAAACCATCAAGTGAGTGACATCACTAGACAAGCCACTGCTCCCCCGACCGAAAGCTGCTACCTTGACGTGGTGGTCGGGCTTGAACACCGCAATGACCTAATCAAGCTATACTGGCTGAGACTTATGTCTCTTCAGGTCCTACCATGTCAGGCAGATTGTTTGGATAGCGGTTAAACAAAAAGCAGCTACCCAATCCAACATCATGATCCATACAAAATCACAAAATTTCATGCCGGATCGGCCGTGGCCCGGATTAACAACGACCGCACCTCCTGCTGCCGTGTCACAGGGCAGGAGTGATAAATATGCTACTGAGACACACAAAACAATAAAGAACAAACAAAAGCAGGCCGTGTGTGACCGGCCTCAAGCAGTTGTCCCCTGGGCTCTGCGGTCACGCAACCAACTTCCACGGTGTGGGCAGCCGGGAAGTAACAATCTCCCTCACAATCCAAAATGCACTCGAAACCTCTCTATTACTCACTCATCTTTGTCTTCATCTTCATCTCTATCATCTTGCCTTCCTTCCACTGATGAAACTCCTCGACTTGATAGCTCTCCACTTCCTCTCCACTCTGCGTCCACTAAAAACGATGGAAGCCAAAAAACCACCACCGACAGCCTCCTAAAGCCACGCCACCAATTTCATATAGGAGCTCTTAATGTTAGGACACTTTGCCAAATAGGACAACAAGCATCACTAGCCAAGACCCTGGCATCCCGAGCCATTGATGTATGCTGTGTTTAAGAAACACGCATACAAGACCCAAGTGTTGTTATTCACCTAACCCCACCTGGCCAACAGGTTGAATCTGCAAAATTCACCTTGAGGGTGTCAGGAGATGGCACAGTGGTTAAGACTCTCGCCGACCATGCACACGGTCCGGGGTTCGAGCCCACGCCAACGCACACCTGATATCTATGGTCGGCCTGTGAATTTTGGGCTACGGATATCCACGCTGAAAATTCCACACTTGTACCAAAAATACGGTGTGGAGTCAAGCTGTAATCAAAAATAAACAAAAAATAAAATAAATAAATAGGAATAGCTTTGAGTACTAGGGCAGAAAAGACATTGCTTGACTGGATCCCGGTAGATAGCCGAATGTGTGCTGTCCGTCTGAACGGATCAGTAAAAAGGAGAAAGGACTGCACTACTCGCCGATGCCTTTTCGTAATCTCCGCCTACGCCCCCACTGACTGCAGTTCAGATGAAACGAAGGATGAGTTCTACCAAAAGCTGTCTAGTTTGGTGGAAAGGCTAAACGCTCAGACATAGTCGTTCTAGCTGGTGACTTTAACGCTCAAGTAGGGAAATTGTGTCAATCTGAGAAGGATGTCGGTGGCACCTATGGAGTTCCGTGCCAGCGAACCGACAACGGTGACCGTCTCCTACAGTTCTGCTCTGATAATCATTTGTTTCTTGTAAGCACTAACTTCAAACACAAGGAGAGACACTGTTTGACTTGGAGACCCCCTTCATCAAACCAACGCTGGACACAAATAGACCACATAGCAATAAGCTATCGTTGGCGTGGGTCGGTAGGAGATTGTCGCTCCTTCTGGAACACGTGCGTAGATACCGACCATGCACTGGTCCGCGCTCGGGTGTGCTTACGACTGAACGGACGTAGGAAACAGCTGGCGGTAAAACCATCACGTCCCCAGCTCGATCAGGAAACTAAATCCGTATTTGAGGAAGAACTAGCTAAACACATATCTGTGTTC